ATGGTATTTGAACAAATTTACTATGGGAGATAAAAGAAACCTCAATGCAACACACCAAAATATATTCCAAAAGAATCAAAGATTCATGACAAAAAAAAAAGGAAAAGAAAAGAAACCTAGTTTCATTAGAAGATTATATGTAAATATTTATATATTTCTTTGGTGGAAATGACCTTGCTAAAAAACATAATCCCAAAAGGAAAAGACTGAAATAATGTAAAACTTCTGTTGAACTATTAAAAATGATGGTCAACTGGAAACGAGAATTGCCACGTGACAGAAAAGTTTAATACCTTTATACTTAAAGGGTGCATATAAATTAGTAAGACTCCAATGCAGCCACCGCAGGACTGAAGGGAGGCCCACAGAGCCCCCTGTGCTCCTATTCAGACACCTTGCTCCCACTCTCCCCCTTCAAAAACACTCCCGCCTTGCCTCACCTCTCAAACTGCCCAAGAGGGATCCTATAATTAGAACTCATGATGCTCCCAATTTCCTTTCCCCAAGAGATCCAACCATAACCTGCGCTCTTGTTTATCTCTGTCGCCCTGTGAACTCGAAGCCTCCTGGGACATTAGACTCTACATCTAATGCCAGTCTCCCACTCCTCCCCAACACCTTAAGCCTCCCACAGTCCTCTGGAATGCACGGTCTGTCACTGACAGGAACTCCGTGTCCTCAACTTCTGTAAGCAGTCTCTTCCCAGCCATTGTGCTAAGTGAAATCTCAATATCCTCTGATGAAACAGCTTCCCCTACAGCCCTGACAAGTGGTGGCTGTTTTGTCTTCCTGGTTCCTTTTTGCTGTTTCAACCACTGTTTCCCCATCTTCCTTATAACTCTCCAGTGCCTTTGAAGCACAAACCGTTATACTGAACTACCCATACTGTTCCTTTTCCTGCCATCAGCCATTTTCAAGGAATTCTGCCTTTTCTTGAGTTTAGCTCCTGGCTTGCTGTATATTTCTTTCCACCAGGACTCCTGCTGCCATTGAAATGATTTTGCCTTCCACAAAACTAGCCATACACCATCCCGGCCTCTTGGTTCCTTCATCTCCTCGCTTTTCATGGTCTTCTCATCCAATCTTGGCCATGCACTTTCCTTGTCATACTTTAGAACTCGTCGTCACCAATAACTAACTGCACTGTCTCCAAGAGCTCAATTTCAAGCACACCACTTCCTAACCAGTTTACTTCCTCCACTAAAATCCCACTCTGGTGGTCTTTGAACCCACCTCAAATCCATGGAGATCTGCCACCACTTTTTAAATGACCATCACCTGTCCCATGTCCCTACTTTTCTCCTTATCCATCACTATAATAATTTTCCTTGCCTAAAACCTTAATTCCTTTTCTCCTGTGTCCCATTTGTCTGACAATAACTGGCTTACTCTCCCACTTACTCTCTGTCCTGCACCTGAGCAGCAAACATGATTGGAGAAAAATGTGACCATCTTAGCTGGTCTCAGTTAAATTTATAACCATAAACCTCTGGTGGGCTCTCAGCACTGCCCAGCGAGCCTACTACTACTCTGAAGCCTATTCAATTAGCTTTAGAGACTAATAATTCAAACCTCTCTTCCTCAATCTTCAACTCCTCCTCCCCTCATACCCTCAGCTGATAATTTTGCTATATCCCTGAGAAAATAATCACAAGACCTTTCTCATTCTCTAATCATCAAATATCCTAACATCTGTATCCACATACTTTGTCTTCCCTAGTATTAAAGTGGATAAACTCTTCTAGCTCTTAAGGTCACACCCTCCTCCTTTCATATACTGGATCCTATCCCTGGAGAAATTTCCTCCTGCAACTGTTCCTTCTCTCATCTACAACATCCATTTCTCTTTCCACGGAACATTCAGATCCACACATAAACATATTATGACATGTCCCATCTTAAAATCATTAACAAAAACCTTGACTTTAGGTTCCCTTACCAGACACCAGGTAAATGTTTCAAGAGAATGGCTCTATAGCTGTGCTTTCTCACCATCTCCTCTCTCTTGAACCCACTCACTCTTATTCTCACAGTTCCACTGAACTGTCCTTGCAAGTTACCGTGGAGTGCCCTATTATCAAAGTCAATGGTCAATTCTCAGTCCTCACATTACTCCTCAGCTGCATCTGGCAGATCAGCACCAGATCTGACAGAGTAGCATCACACCCTCCTTCTTAAAAGCCTTCCTTCCCTTGATTTTCAGGACACCACGCACATCTGGTTTTCTTCTTACTCTTCCTTTTGTTACCCAGAGCTGTTTTTAACTCCCTAGAGGACCCATCCTATATCATGACATTAAACATGATCCACGCATTCATAATTCCAAAATGAGTATCTCCAGTCTCTGCCTCTCTCCTGAGCCCCAGCACTGCAGATCCATCTTCCTATTAAACTATCTCCACTTGGAAGTCTAATAGGAATCTTACACTTAACATATCCAAAATTGAATTAAATTCTTTCCTAAGTTAAATTTTTTCCTTCCCAGGCCTGTCCCGTCTTGGTAAATAGCACAACTCATTTGCTCAGGCAACCAAACCTGAGCTTCATCTTTCACTCTTTCTACCCCACATCCAACCCATCAACACATCCTTTGAAACACAATAATAATCCAACTACTTTTTAACACCCTCACAGCCATCACCCTAGTTTAAACTCTAAGGAGGCTGTAATGGACTAGGACTTCTAGTCTGACCAACTGTACTCATTCTCCTCACTTCAGTGATCCTTTTAAAACTCAGACTAGATCATGTTACTCCCTTGCCTGAAACCTTCCAGTGGCTTCCCCTTATTCTCAGGCATAGACGAGGTCCTCACTATGGCCCACAAAGACCTACAAGATCTGGCTTTTGCCAACCTCATTAACCTCATGTTCTAATTCTCCTTCCCTTGCTCACTCTGCTCAACCACAATGGCCTCTTCCCTGTTCTCAATCATGCCAAGGACCTTCGCTTCTCAGGACTTTTGTTCTTCCTGGAATGCCTTTAGTCCAGTCACTCGGCCAGCTCCCTAATTTCACTGAAGTCCCCTGCTCAAACGTCACCCACCTCCAAGAAACCTTCCAAATCTACTCAGTCTAAAATAGTCCTCCCATTCACTCACCCATTTTTTTCCTCCATAATGCCATCTAATGTTACGCAGTCAATCCTCATTATTCTCAGATTATGTATTTGTGAATTTGTCTACTTTCTAAAATTTATTTGTAACCCTAAAATCAATACTCACAGTGCTTTCATGGTCATTTATGGACATGCATAGAGCAGTGAACAAATGCGCGTTCCCAACTGAGGTCTAAGTCGATCCTTGGCCTTTCTGTTTCAACCTTCATATTGTAAACAATGTTCTTTTCACAGTATATTTAGTGCCACATTTTTTGCTTTTTTTGTGCTTTGGTGATTTCACTGCTTAAAACGGCCTCCAAGTGGAGGGCTAAAGTGCTGCCTAGTGTTCCTAAGTGTAAGAAAGGTGTGACGTGCCTTAGCGAGAAAAATAACGTGTTAGACAAGCTTCATTCAGGCATGAGTTCGAGTGCTGCTGGCCTTGTGTTCAATGTTAATACATCAACAATATATATTACATAAGGTATCTTTAAACAAAAACACACAAAAAACAAGGTTTGTTGATCAGGTGACACAAATGTCGTGACCATTTTTGGCCTTACTTAACTCTGTATTTCCCCTGGGAGCAATGGTTCAGTATTTGCTAACTTAGTGTTCACGGTGACGTGACAGAACTACCGCAAATAACGAGAATCGAATTATCTCCTATTACCACCTAACACTACATATCTATCTCCTTGTTTGGAAGGCAAACTCCTCAAGGGTACCAATTTCCTCTTCTTACTGCCTTATGTTTGTGGTTTACTGCAGTGCTTGGCAGCACTTAGCGAAAATCTAGAAATACATGAATGAATAACAAGGATGGAAAAGCAATTCAAAGAAACTCAACTGGCCAAGAGTTACAGAAAATATTCAACCTCACTAGTAATCATGGAAATGTAAACAAAAACAGCCAAGGGTTTTTTTTCTTTTTTTCCCCTTAATTCTACTACCTCGTGTTGGAAAGAGTCTGGGGAAGCCAATCATGCCATCATTAAAAGACTTTGCGAGTGCATATCCTCTGACCCCGCAATTCTACTTAATTCCACAGAAAATAAGATGTGAATCTGTGCAAAAATTTACCAACAAGGATAATCACTGCAGTGCAATTAATAATAGCAATACAAATCACTTCAAAATCTAAGACTGGTGAAACAACAGAAATCCACACAATGTAACCTATGTAGCTATTGAAAAGTTGTCAAAAACTCTAAGATGAAAAATGCTCATTAAACATTAAGTAAAAATAGATCATACAATCAGCTACAATACAATCTCATTTTTATTTCTTAAAGTCCACATGCATAAAAATATGAAAATGTCTGCTGTAGTTATTACCACTAATGGGTAACATGGATGATCAAAATCCATGTTTTTCTGTATCTTCCCAGTTTTTTCTTACAATAAACATGCATTACTTTTGTAATCAGAAAAAAGGGAGGAGATTTGGGAGTAAATCTGACAAATCAATTATGAATTACTGAGTCCCTGGCAAAGTATTCTACCCCAAGGCTGCCACCAACTAAAATCACTATAGCAGTGGTGCTGTCTGGGCATCCAAACTCTGAATAAGGCTTGAGGTGAAACATATCGACAAGTTCAGCACTTCTAACTGCTGGGGTTACCACTCTACTCAATCCCAGCTCTACAACTCACTAGCTCTGTGCTGTTCCTTTGTCTGTTAAACGTGATAAACGTATCTTGCTCATAGGAATGTTGAGGTTTAAATGAATTAATGTTTTATATATAACAGAATCCAACAAATAGCAAGTCTTATAAGCACTAGTTCTTATTTTCTCCCAAAACAGAACTGTTGGATGATGTCCCATTCTGGTTACATGTCCTGGGGAGAAAGATGGTATTTATGATAACATAAACTCTTTGCACATCAACACAAAAAACAGATTACTTTTTCCTGTTACAGATCATTTATTGATCATTTAACGTTACTTAAACTTCTATAGTTACAAGCTTTCCTGCCATCTTTTGTAAGAAGAGAAAAAGGAGACAAGTCGTATGGAGAAAGTTTACATTCCACAGCACTCTACTGGTATAAGAAACATGCCTAGGCTATTATATGACCACAGAACCATAGCAAAACAGTCATGCATTCGTATACCATACATAGTGACCCAAGTTTGTATAAACTAGTGTTTTTCCTCAACCAATGTAACCAAAATTTAAAATGTATAACTTTAATGTACCCAACTGTACAAATCGCCAGAAAGTAGACACTACTTTTCATTTTTAACATTTTGAAATCCTCATTCTCCTACAAGTACAAAATAAAACCAACAAGGAGAACAAATTCCTGATCATTTTAATTTGTAAAACAGATTACATATTTTATGGTCAGAACCAAGGTAAAACCTTCAGTAGCTTATATTTTGTTCATGACAAGGCCAGTGCATAAACACTACCTGAAACATAGTAAGTTTTTCCAAGAGCAATAATAAATATTAAAATAAAGAGTTAATAAGCATTCAACAACTCTCAAAAAGATATTCATCAAAATGAGGTAAGTCTAACGTGTCATTTGCTAAAGAATTTAATGCTGAAGTAGAAAAAAACTCATCAAAAATATCAGTCTTCATGGAACTTTCCAAGTTCAATGTTCTAACGCCAGCATTATTTATGAATGAGTCTGGCTGAACTTCACTCTGAGTTTTCTTGGTGGGGCTGCAATAGTTATGGTCCTGTCTCAAATGTGCATTTTGGGGGGTATCATTTAAGTCACTAGGCACTGGTGCTGGGATATGGTTGTCTCCCATTTCTAAATACCTAAAGTCAGCCTCCCCATTTTCCGAGAGCTCTGCTGAAACAATAGTTGTTGGAGACAATAACTCTGCTAAAATTTCTTCATGAGTCTGACTGCTGTACGAGGAAATACTAGGAGCTGTGGTGCCCCCAGATTTATTATCGGCAATATCAATTTGATCCTGTAGTTCTTTTAACAAGTCTTCTATTGATCCACAGTCATTTGGAGACCCGCAATGGGACCCATGTTCTAAATTTTCACTTGGATGTGTTCCATTTTGAGGGGAAGACATTAGAGCAGCTAGTTTCTTCTTTTTCGCCTTAAGTTTTTTAAGAAGTTTTAGACGAAGTTTATGAATCTGACCCTCCACTAAGTCTCCATGGTTTGCCGAAGAAACACCACCTTCACTTCCATGAGAACTGTGGTTGAGGTGAGCTCCAGATGAGGTGTTTTCACATTTCTTCAAAACTTCCGAATGTGCAGTAACACTTGCATGCAGCTGAGAAGCTGGGCTACCTGAAGGAAGACTTGGTGGAGGGTTACTAACTGGAGGCGGCTTACTTGAACATTTATGAGCTTTCTTGGATGTCCGGTTAGCCTTTTGCTTTATACCTTTAGTTTTAAAGCCACCAAAATTACTTGCCCCCTTAACTGAAGGCTGCAAATCAGTTATAGTGTTTCTATTATGAGCTGAAACACAGGGTGGCATAAAAGAAGCACCCTTACTTAATAAACCTTTCACCCAACTTCCCACAAATGGTTTCTTCTGATTTTCTTTCAGAGATGGACTCTGTAATGACTTAGCTGTTATGGTTTGAGAAAATGCTGCAGTTTCCTCTTTCTTCAAATTAGATACCTGAGATGTAACAAGTTGTTCTGGTTTTAATTTCTCAGTTTTTGGTGAAAGGAATTGTTTTAATGGAGCATCCTTCTCTAGGACAACTGTACCCTCAAATTCTACTGACTTTACTTCCTGCATAGCATCAGTAGCATGAACATTATTCACAGACTTAGTAATTACAGTATCTTCTGTATTCAGCTGTACTAATTGCACGTTTGTATTTACAAATTGAGATGGAAAGCTTAAATCCACAAATTGGTCTTGGGTAAGCTTCTCCTTACATGGAGCTGATACTAAAGAAGCTGTTAGTGACTCTTGCGATTGCAAAGTGTTTGTTTTGATAACTCCTGCATTTTCTGCCACAGGTTTATCTTCTAACAGGAAACCTTCAGGGTTAACCTGTATTTCTTCAAGTGTCAAAGGTAAAATATTGTCAACCAAATCTTCTGGACCTGAAAGTAAATTATTTTCATGAGCTACAGCTTCATCTTGTGCAAGAGTATTAAGAGCAACTGACATATTTGTAGGGTGAGTTCCTGAGGATGTTTCAGCTGAGGCGGCATGGCCCAGAGAACACAATGCTGGAGATGCTTGTTTCTCATCACCGACAGCGTGCTCATCATTAGCCTTTTTAAGTGCAGGGCAGGCAGATGCTTTATTTGTCACTTGAGATGTTTTCCTTTCCCAAATAACAATATGTATCTCTGAAACAGAAACTTCAAATTTCTCATGCCTTTCAGAACATGAACCTTTTAAGTCATCACATTCCAGCCAACTTCCTAGGGGATGGGGAAAGAAAGTGAAAGAGGTTTAGACATTCAAAAACCACCATCGTAGGTTAATGTTCTTCTGGCCTTTTTAACTGCTGTATCAGTGAATATCCAGCAAAGAAGAACACTGAAAATATGGCCTTATCCTTATGTCACCATTTTTCTCTGCCAAATGTTAAAGTCCTTATTTGGATAACAAAAGTTACGGACTAATATCCAGAAATTTGAAAAACTGAGGCAGTTTTTACTCTTTCCTAAAATACCCATAAAAATCAAGAAAGAGTATATTTAACTTTTAGGACTTCGAATACGGTATTACCTCGTTTATCCATCATCAGAAAATAAACAATTCTTCCATATATATGAATTTTAAAGATAAATGAAGCTTGTTACCTCAAGTACCAACATTTGTTTCAATTCTTATTTCTTTTTTTGGTTTAAAAAAAAAAAGCTTAGGTATCCAGGTGTCTGCTCTCATTTTATTTCTGAACTTCTGTTTTCTCATTTGTCAAGTGGGAATGAGGTGATGGATGACAAAGGAAGAGGTTAACCCTCCTCTACACACAGAAGAGACCTAAACACAACCATTCACTAAGTTTATGTGGATACACCTTTATAAACTACCTGAACCCACTACTTTTATTCTATACCCAGTAAAATTCTGAGAACCTCTTGTTTGCCTAGGTCAGTGGTTCTCTGACACACACATCAGAATCACCTGATTAGTATTTGGGCCCAAATCCCCAGAGACTGAGTCACTGGTCTGGGGGAGAGCCAGGACATTTCTTATAAGCTAACCATATGATTTTTATACGCTGTCAGGGTTAGAAAATATCTAACCTCTTCTACCTGAAGAATATTTTTCATTCCCTGGAATGCAATAGAAAATTAAAATAAGTTTCTTAATTTTTGTTTACATTACTGAGAACCTGCCATCCAGTTCTGAGGTAGGGTACAACTTTAAGGTGATAATTATATTTATAACATGAGTTTCAGTTTGCAACATGCTTTTATAAAACGTTAGTGTGTCATCCAGCCAAACCATCCCCAGGAGAAAAATATCAAATATGTAAAATGTTCAGCCAATAGAAAATGTAAAAATAGAAAATATCAAAGTGACCCCTTACCAATGGCCTGATGTAATACCTAAAGGGATTGGGTTATCTTGTCTAACACAAAGTGAACATTGTGAGGAAAAACAACTTAATAGTAAACCACATTAGATAAATGGAACGGAAAAATTAGCAAAATTCCTGAGTTGTACTTTAACCTTCTCATGAAAAGTTTAATTATTTAAATAAAGGCTTTACCTTGACTGTAGCTGTTAGCAAACTATGGATTTCAGACATTCTATTTCACAGTGAGAGAAGGCTACATAGTCTGTAATGTCTAATAGTCCTAAATGTTTACTTTTATTCATATTACTAACAACCGCAAACTAAGCAAAATTTGTTTTATTTTTTTCTTTCTTAATTAAAAACCTTCAGTATATGGTGCACTTTCTTTTTAAAAGAAGTGCAAGGTTATATGTCTAAAAAATAAAAATTGCCACTATTTTCTATACTAAACATGTAACAAAAAACAAAAAATAAAAGATATTAAGTAAACCATCAGTAGTATACAATCTTATTCTTTGTCTAAACAAGAAATATGCATATGTAAACCCATAAACATGCTGATATAAGCAAAGGAAAAAGTTAGGATGATTCTAAACCACAGTGACAGGTAGAGGAGAGGAGGGGCAGAAGAATTAAAGGCAAGGGCCAGAGGAGAGAGAAGAGTCAAGGCAGAGTTTGTCTTTAAAAAAAAACAAAAAACAAACGGGAGTGTAGTCTGCCTATTATCAAAAAATAAAAACGTTTAAACACTTACCATCAGCATCTAAAATCCATGTTATAAAATGATTATTTGCTTGGTACTGAATTACAGAAGTTATCTGGTAAAGACAGCCTTCAAAGTGAAATGAATAGTGCTGCAAGTCATCACGTGGTAAGCCTTCTACAAAGTGCACCATGAAGATGGGAGACACTCTGGGAGAGAAAGGCAAGAGAAGCCAAACAAATTTAATGCCATGTGTCTGGTTAGACAAAAGATGGTCTGAAGCAAATAAGTCACACATAACATTTTCAAGGCTAACTGCACTAATTTTTCTTGAGAACCTCCAGATGCGTGCCTAAATTAGAAATGGAGAGCTCACTCTAAGAAGCATGTAACAGTAAACCCTTCTCAGAGTGGTAACACTGACAGTTGGAAGCCATCATACAATAAGGCTCTAACACAGACCATTAAACAAAAATTGCTCTGTAAGCCGCAATGCTGCTTTGGCTTAAAGATCTCTTGGTAACTACTTTAGAGAATAAAGGAAAAAATCCAGACCTTTTAGAATTTTCTTTGGCATCAAGGGCCCAAACTGCTTTTGTCAGACAGGACAGGTAATATGTGAAACACCAAAACCTAAGATATTCAAACAAACACTTTAAAAACCTCAACATGCTAATAATTTGGTCTATTTCTTTCAATTATCTCAGGAAGCAGAGAAATCAAATTAAAATTTCTACTTAGGAAAAGTTGAATTTGTAACTAAGTAGAGAAGAAAATACAACATATTGGTTGATTTACTATAAACTTCAAGACATCCATAATTCCAAAAATATACTTTATCATTACAATAACATGTTGAACCAAAAAAAAAGAACTCAAAGAGATTGGCCTGAAATAACTAAATTTAACAACTCTCAAGATTTAAGAAAAATGTTGAATATCTCTTTTCACAATATTTAAACAGCTGTCAAAACTTACTAAGCTTATCAAAATTTATTCAGCTGAAATGAATGTGAATCAATGTCCAAAATGCAGATTATTCAGACAGACAACGGATAATTTGTAAATTATCCCTTGTCAATCATTCTGTCAGAGAATAATCAAGTCTTCAAAATGGAAATAACTATGAAAAGTCCTGCAAAGTGTGTATAACGCTAAACTCCTACTGTTCTTTGAGATCATACCTATTTCATCGATCTAAGATGCCACTGATTATAAACTATACCACTATGAAAGAATACTGCCAATTAAACTATACCATGCCATCAATTTTTAGATGTATTCTCATTTCAAATATGTTAAAATGTGAAGAGCGTGTCTGAGCCAAATGATCCACAGAAAAACTAGAGATAGATCCTCTCAGCTGCATATGCAGGCTTTAGACACCTATCTGACTCTTTAAGTACTAATATTTAGTCCTCTTGGCCTCAAGATATATAGCTTCTGAGGCTAGTAACTAAAACATTCTTTTGTTGATCCCTAGACTTGGCAATCTCACTAGTTTCCTGCCTTATTTGTGTGAGTTTACACGTGGAAAATATTCAATAGGCAGCATTTCTTTCTTAATGGCATATTTAAAAAGTGGTACAACTTATAAATGACGGCAAATAAAATAAAGCACATGCCTCCTCCTCCTTTTCTAGTTTATTTTCCTGTCTGGGTCCCCTAGAAGTCATAGCAGTCTCCTACTCATAATTCTGGCTTGTCTCATTCCCAGCCTCTCAGGTAAGGAGAGAACTTTATCACTAGTTTGGCAATAGATTTTGTTCTCAGGCTTCTTCCTACCCGCAATGCCTGGAGTGTCAAAGATGATGCTCAGAGCTGGGGAGAGCAAGCGAGGTTCTGCCTCAACCGTAAGAAAATTGGATGGGACAGTTAACAGAACTGGAACCAAGAATCCCAAGAGATTTCAAGCTGAGATCCATTTGCATTTACCTCCCAAACATGAGGTTGAACTCCTATTCTAAGAATCTACCCTCATGAAAAGAACAGAAAACAGAAAAGAGAGAAAGCAAGCACAAGGGAACTCAGCTAACTGTTCTGCTACCCAAAGCCAGCAAGGGAACACCAGATCTCTGTCCCACAAAGAGCAGCCACAGTCTGTGCTAATGACCTGGAGTACAAGTTTGTGATTTTCATACCAGCTAATGTAATGCAATAATTCATAGTTTAGAAAATGCAAGTTTAACAATGTGCATACATGTACTTCAGAACTGGAATAATGCAGGCTTTAGGCAGAAAAATCTGCAAATGTAATTTTTAAACCTCATTACATTTTAGATCTATTTCAGATTTTATGACAAAAAAAGAAAAATATGAGAAGGTGTAATTCAAATAATTAGAATTGGTTCATATTAATTGTAAATAAGAAAATACATCTTTAGAAAAATTCCATTGTTCAACAAAGGTTTACAAACTGTTCTCTGGAGGTAGTTCAAGGCTCTCATAAATAATAAAGCATTTTCTGCCAAACAATGACTTTAGTTATGAAACATAATTTTAATTATTTTATATTATCAGTATTCCATCCAAAACGTTTAGGGGAGAGTATAGTTTTAAAAGTCTCAATCTCTTAAAAAAAGTCTCAAAATCACTGTATAAGACACTTCAATACAAGCTCTATAACAACAGAAATGTCTTATTTCTCTTCTTACCACTCCCTTATCCTTCACAAATAATTGTTAAAAAAAAAAAAAAATCACTGTTAAAACTGAAGTTTAAATAAACAAACTTTTCAAATGACAATCCAGGATAGTGTATGACCAGATTCCTAATGGAGATCATGGCAGTAATGAGAGGTTCATTTCAAGAATTTGTGAAGTAAAATTAAATCAGATTTCTAAGCTGGTGCTCTGTCACCATGCTCTGAATATAATTCCTAAACAATTTAGATTAAAAAAAGTACAGATTTGGACCTGCTGGATAGCATTCATCTGATTTATCAATGAACTCAAAAAAGAGTGCATGGGAAGAGTCCACAGGAACATATCAGAGATGTAGATTACCTGAGACAAGGTGTTCAGGGAACTTACAACACTGTTAGTTTTTACAATATGGTAAGATTAAATTATGCATGATTATCATGATAGGCTTTACTTTTAAGTTATCCCCAAAATTATATTAAATTTGTTTCTAAATTCTATTAGATACCCACAAATCAAATTAGACAAATTTCAAAGTTAAAAACTATAAAGGACTTTATAAAGGCCTTGTCATTTAAAATGTAAGTGAAATTTTATATACTAGTTCAATTTACTTTTGAATACAGTATATGTCTAAATTATAAATTCTGCTTATAAACTGGCTCAGTAGAACTCTAAACACATTTCCTGTTGAAACACTGTTACACCTACCAGATGCATTTCCAGATCAGAGCATGAATTTTTAATGTAAGTAAAGCAACGTATTTGTATAATTAAAAATTATATGTTGCAATGGCCCAATTAACAGATCAAACAAAATCGTAGTATGAGTTTATCTTCAACGCTGGGGTTTGAGAAAAAGCAGGTATAAACTCTTAGCTGAAATTATATACACCAAGAAACCTCAAGCAATCCAACGGCCCAGTGCAGGGTGGCAGCCAGCCACACCTGCTGCACCTCTACCTCCTCCTGATCAAGGAGAGGGCTTAAAAAGGAAGGGCTCCCTCAACACTCAGATCTCTCAGCTGGGACCCCAGACTGCCAAGACAGATTATGGACTTCTGGTTAAAGATATTGCCCCTTCTTTCCCACTCTGCCCTCCCACTCCAATGATATCCAATGAGAGGGAAGGACAAAAAGGGTAATAAACCAAAAGGGCAAAAAAGGGGAAAGGAGCCATGAGCAAACAAGAAGACAATAAACGTCTGGAATACAAAAAGCAAACAGAAAAGTGGTAACTGAGATGGCAGAATGCAGGAAGAGATGACATCAGTGCTACAGAGGGGCACACTGATGAGAAGAGCTTACATGTCCCACAGAACCCCTAAAAGACTCAACATTTATAGGCAACAGATGCTGAAGAATGTGGGGGTAAGGCCCTGGGCTGAAAACTGGGATAATGACAGAAAGTGTGTCTAAATAGCACTCCCATGCACCAGGCCCAGAAAGGAACCAGTATAGACCGGAATACTGGAGCAGAAGGACGAAAGGCAGCAGAAGAGAGGTTTCCAGAAAAAAAAGAAGGGGAGGAGGACTCAAAAACTGTGAAGCATTTGAGTGTTTAGAAAATTTATTGATAGGTGTTTGAAGAATTTGGAAAAAAATTCACAATGTGTACATTAAGAAAGCAAATGAAAACACAAGGCTATTATAATTCCAGGAAAAATAAAGAGTTATAAAAGAAATGAAACATACGTTTACTGCTTGGCTGGAGAGGGAATATATGTATATGCATAATAAACAGTGAGTACTGATTTAACCAAAAATGTAATCATCTTGGAAGGGCAGGGAGAGGTTAAACAGAGATGGGTCCAGGTGTTGGGGTAAGAGCGCTAGTCCTCAACTCCTGTATAAGGAGAAAACTGTATAAAGGTGGAGTAAGCGTATTGTTTTAAAATGTCAAAGTAAATACTACCTGAAAGGTTTAAAGTAGATGCCTGGAGATGGGGTGGGCGGGGCACTGCTCTTTTTTCCTTTCAAGCCTTGGCACTATTAGCTTAACAAAGAATTTATTACTTGGATGAAAACAAACCTTCCAGAAAGATTCTGAGGGGTGTCTTGGCACAGTGAAGGGCATCAGAAAAGGTAAGAGAAGGTCATCATCAGTGCTTCTTTACTGTATCAAATTAGACCTCAAAACATTTCCTTGTAGAGATAAGGACTACTGAAAATAAAGGTTAAAGAGGATGTATACGTGTGTGAGTGTAGTAACAAAAGAGAGACAAACTGCCTAAAATGGAATCCACCTGTGAGTATAAAGATATGGGGCTCCTGGTAACACTAGAAAAGGTAATTCTGACCAGTACTCCCACTGAGGACAAAGAAAAGCTGGCAAAATATAACAAAAACACATCTGCTCAAGGGCAGCAGAAAGCTTATAAGAGGATGAAGAATTAGCAGGCTGAGATCTGGGAGAAGATGAAAATTCAGACAGATGAAATTAGATTAAGGAAATCCCAAAATTCTAGTGACTCTAGGCACTTGGCAGAGCAGAGAAAAACGGAAGTTTAACATCCTTAAAGGGAGAAAAAAGGCAAAAGAAGGAAAGACACTAGAAGAGTGGGGTCAGACAGTCACCCTAAGTGAGCCGTTCAGTGGTATTTTGCCTGAGACAGCTTGTTTATCGGCCAGAGTTCCTGACAGAGACATTTTGGCAACTGATAAATATACGTTAACTCAAACTTCTGAAAAGTAGGGCTGTAGTCATCACTTTCAATACTACACATTAAGAAAAGAAATCTAAATCCACCTTTCTTTTGTTCTAAAAATAGTAAGGCAATTTTAACTCACTTTTCCAGTACCATTTTCCTTATCTGTGACTTATTGTTGCAACTGTTACATGGACCAAAATGGGCAGCATTAAGTGGGTGCCACTCAGGGATGACATTTGTAAAGGTAACCAGATTCTTCATACATCTATATGAAAAGAAGACATAACTTAAATGAATTTAAATTCTTTTACATTAATTTAAATCAATGTTTAAAATAAAAGATACTTTCCTATTCCCCCAAATCATATAATAATCTGCCAACATTCCTCCCTAACCCTAGTAAAGCTCTCTGTGAAGGTTGTTCACATTAATTACCCACAGTTCTTCAGCTACGAGATTAAGAAAATGTTAAAGGCAGGGTTTCTCAAGAGTGATCCCACTGACACTTTGCAGTTGGTAACTCTTTGCTGTGGGGCACTGGCCTGTGCATTATAGGATATTTAGCATGATTCCTGGCCTCTTACACACTAGATGCCAGTAACAGCCTCCAATTGTAGCAACCAATCTGTAGCTATCTTCAGGCATTGCCAAATGTTCCATGGGGTGCAAAATAGCCCCTAGTTGAGAATGACTGTTCTCAGGTTTTCAAATTTATTAAGAGTTCACCGCATACTCAAAAAGTTCAAAATCTGGCTATCCACTGTTGACAACCAAAAATGAAAAGGGGCATTTCCAAATATATAAAGGAATACATACAACTTAATTTTCTTTTCACAAGTTACACAAGTTCTAAATTTACACTTTAATCTGAATACTTGATAGCAACAGCCATCTAAAAAGATGATCTTTAAAGATGTACACTGCACCTCAACTGGAGTTGCTTTAATATCTTTAAGAGAGCAATTATTTATTACCTAAGAGACACCAGCTTCTCTTCTAAACAATAACACTGATAAATCATAAGTAAGATAAACAAAGGCTGTTAAAAATACATCAGTTCTCAGGGAAGCTAACATTTTAAAAGCAAAGCAGCATAAGGCTATCAACAAATGCACTGACTGTATTTCTGCTAAATTCTCGGATCTCAAAGATAATCGTTAAGTAAAAGCTCTTATTTTTTAGTTTATAAAAGGGAGTTTGTCTCAGCAAATAAGTGCTAATGCTCCACATGACATCTAATGTTTTGGAGCACTGACTATGTGCAAGGCAGGGCACTGTGCTCAGCACTCCTCTTCCAAACAATCCTAAGTGACAGGTACTTTTCCTATCCACATCGTACAGATGAGGAAAGGGGAGTACAGAGGGCACATCAGACGACACATGACACACTTGAGATTTAAATCCAGGGAGTCCATGTTCTTAACTGCCTCCAGAATACACTTTCTAAATCAAGGAAAAGCTCTTAAACCGGCACTGAAAACAGCAGCACAAAAACAAATGAGTTTGCTGGATATTCTTCCATCAGATTAAATGGAAGTAAGTTTTAAGCTATGATATACTAAAAACTATTTAATGAAATGCCACTTCATTTTAGCTTTTTCTCTATAACTACTTTTCTTTTTAGAACAAAGGAATAAAAAAAACGGCAAACCCCAGTGGCTGGTGGCTTCTTTCCCTTGAGCTCTCAGAGTTTTTCTATATAACTCCAAAATGCATTTATCACCTTGTCTTCAAAGTAAGTTAAAGCAGCCAACAAACCAAAATAACTACTCAGTCACTAGCCCTCTATTATGTGTTTATATATTATCTTCCTAACTAACTAGTCTGAATTTGGCCAGGACAAAGATTATTTCTGTTGAGTTCCTGGCACATAGAATATACTCAATGAAAAGCTGTCAAACAACTGAGATGTGGATTTTGGAAAAGCTATAATTAAGCTGATTTTAACCATCAAGCTTGTTTATATTATTTAAAATCCAGGTGGTGATTAGGGAGTAAAGCAGAGTGAGCAAGAAAGTCTTAGAGGCCAGAAAACCTAAGCCCGAATTTAGCCCCTTACTAGTGTGTCACCTTGGGCATCTGTTTAACCCCTTTCAAGCTTCCATTTCCACGTTTGTCAAATGAGGAGAAAAGCATATAATTCATATAAATCAATGCTAGCAGACCTGGAAACACATATTTGTTCTCATACTCACTCACTCACACAAAATTATTTAAGTCCTAGGTATGAGTGAAATGCTAATTCTCACTCTGTTCTAGTACTTTTGAGCTAACTGGAAAAAACAAATGTTTTCTGGTTCTGCTGCTTGCATTCCCTAAAGCATTCTCTCAGATTCGACTCTCCTTGACTGATCCCTAAATACCTAAAAATAACCTCAATTTAGATAATGAATATCTAAGTAACATTTTTCTCTCACATTTTTATTTAATAACTTTGGGAGACTCCAAATTTTCTAATTTACTTGTAGGTAAGTTTGAGAAAAGAGGAAAAGATTTATCTCTATTATAATAATTTGAATAAATGACCTATAGAACCAGTTTGGTAATCTTTTTAACTGCCAGCCAGCAACTTTCTCATATACAAAGTGAGGGTATCATGTCTGATGAAAACTTTCTCTCCCTGACTCCTCTTGTAAAATCTAATTTCTCTCCTTTTTATGTGGTGGGTATGTGGAAGCAAAAGAAACCTGCAGCTGCTTTCTTCCCCATGCTTCCTCCCAAGTACCAGTCTCAGGACCGTGCACATCACTCATGGTCCCTCTGGTCCTCACCTAGAGGCCAGGGAAGTAGAAAGCATGGCTGAGACAGCTCACGTGTAGGAAGATTCTGGTGGTGGCTGGTCTTTCATGGGACTAAGGGAAGGAATGGGAAAGGGTAAGTTACCTCTGAGAATTGCTGCCAGACTCTGGGAGCCTAACATCAGTTTCCATGATGTTAAAAACATAAAGGAAAAACCCTAATCTCTAACAGAGGGGTAAACAAAACACCTACAGTTTCAAGGAATTCTGAGAGGTATTCTTACTCAGCAGGGAATCCAGCGGAGAGTGGAGAGGAATGTGCTACTTTTCCCATTTGTCCCCACTTCCCACTAAGAAATTCTTAAGAAAACTCCTACTAGTAATCTATCAAACCTTGGGGGTTTTTTGTTCCTCCAGCTTAAACAAGCAAACAAACAGCATTTCTGCCACTGAAATTTTTCCTCTCAACCTCAATGGTGGAGAGACTTCAAGATATGGTGGGAAATTTTATCAAGGGTAGCAGGAACCAGGTATAAAGCAGTGCTACAAGGGGAAGCACATTTTATTCAAATTTTATTACTTGGAATCACTTTCAACAGAATGAATCTGTTTTTAAGAAACAGAAAAACTAACCTGTTTTGATACTTGTGTCCACACTGTGAACATTCAAAGTTCCAAGAAAAAGAATACGTGAAGAGCTTTTCAATGTGTGGTTCAATTTTTAAGAGCAGAGGAAATGCAAACACGGGGCTTTCCATGTCACCTTCAAAAGGAAAAGAAAAAATTATTGCTCATAATTAACTAAAAAAGAAAATCAACCAAAGTTATGAACTGTTGTCTTTTCTCACTATGTTCACAGTACGAATATATGTGAACACATATATGACAGAGTAAGCTGGGTGAGGGGAAGTTTTTGAAGCATTTTTCTAAAAATGTGCATCACAAAGATTTAATTATCACTTCAGTCCATAATTTTTCTTGGTGGATGCTTACAAAAATTTCTTATGACAAACAACACAAAAGACACATACTGTCTTCTCAGATCTTTTTAGCTTTCCTCAGGAAAAAACTCCCTCAGAACTGTAACAGCCCTAGAGCATTATAAAAATGAAAAAACATTGTAAATTATTTGCTACAGATACTAAAAATAAACACTGTAGAATAATTTCAGACTTGGACAAAAACATTTAAAAATCATTTCTATTCTGACCCTCTTGTTCTACATGTGGAAAGAGCACGACACACAAGGGCTAAAAGACAGCCTCAAATCTCCCGACTCCTTGTCTACCACTCTTCTTAATCTTTTAACAATTAAACTTAAACAACTTTAAGACTAGAAGAGATTGAAGTTTGTTGTCATTAAGACGAAAACTGAAGGGTGAATGCTGTCTTCCAGTTTTGAGATCAGCAAGCAGCTTGTTCAATAGGAGGATTTACATTCCTCTCTTACATTCATTCTCCAATCAGGTTCTTTCCTTCCTATCTCAGGGGAGCTTAGATGCTGCCTTACGGATTTGGCCCGAGAGCAAATAGAGTCCTTCCATCCCTCATCTCCCTCCCCTGGGACACTCTCACTTCCATCGTCAAGCTCTCCTCCTAGTCTGGAATGACAGTTGCCCAGAACATAGCCAGGAAGAGTCACAGTAGGTGTTATTGCCTAAGTATACTCTATAAATATCAGTAGTTACAAAGCCTATTTTAATAGTCACCTTTGTGGTACAGTCCCATTGCTATTTTTGTACAAAAACATAAAATCAAAACGTTTTTTATAAGTAGAAAGAAATATAAATCAGTCTCCTAAAAAAGAACATACGCAACACCATATGTGTAAACAGTGCATAGTATAGCATGAGTCTGTGATTAGTTATGAGCCTTTAAATGCTTACTCTAGGGGCCGGCCCTGTGGCCAAGTGGTTAAGTTTGTGCACTCTGCTTTGGCAGCCCGGGGTTTGCCAGTCTGGATTCTGAATGTGGACCTATGCACTGCTGATCAAACCATACTGCAGCGGCATCCCACACAGAAGAACTAGAACGACTTACAACTAGAATATACAACTATGTACTGGGGCTTTGGGGAGGGAAAGAAAAAAAAAAAGAGGAAGATTGGCAACAGATGTTAACTCACGGCCAATCTTCCAAAAACAAAAAAAGATGCTTACTTTATTGTAACTAAATATTAATTTAAAAATGAAATAATTTATACTTCATAATGACAATAGAATCTTCAGGTCTAAGAATACATAAAGTTCTCAATGAATCAAAATAAAAGAGCTCAAAACACACTATTAAATAAGTTATATCATTACAGATCATTTTAAGTAATTTATATAGCTCCTAAACCAATCTTAATTATTTTTTCCTTTGATTACAAATTTTATAGGTTAACATAAAGGATCCTACGTGAAAACATATAATACAAATGCCCAATTCCAATTTTTATAACCTCCTGCATAAATTAGTTAAGTGGTTTCTTTGCCTTGACTATCTTAACCCCAACTCCTAAATTTGCATCGTTTTTCCCTAAAATACCTTCATTTGCCACAAAGCACACCTTTCAGTGAGTGCTATCTAGCTATTCGGGTTTTCTCTTCTGCTAATTGCTCATTAATGTCTTCTGGCCACTCTTCTATCAGATTGTCTTTTTTTTAAACTGACGTATGAGAGTTCCTTATAAGATATCCTGGATATCAGTTCTCTGTTCTATCTTCGCCCAGAGGTTTTAAACTTCAATGTAATCACATTTACCAATCTTTCATGTATCTTATTTAAGAAATTCTTCCCCATGAGTGATAAAATATTCACCTATATTTTCTTTCAAAGTTTCACAACTCTGCTTTTCATGTTTATGTCTTTAAATATGCTCAAGTTTCTTCTGATTATGGTGGGCCGTAGGGATCTAACTTTCCCCCCGTATCAAGAACCAATTGTCCCAGCACCATTTACTGAACAGCCTTTTCTTTCCCCACTATTATCTGCATCACCACTTCTGTCACGGTATGAAGTAACCAAAAGGGGAGGGTCCTGATCTGGACTCACTAATTTGTTCTACTGGTACAAAATACTCAGAGACTGAATTACTCTTTAGACCTACATAAATAAGTAAAAACTGTAGCAATATTAGCTTTTTCCTTAAAAAAAAAAAAGAATATAGACAGAGGGAAAGAAAACACCAAATTGAAGATAGTAGTTACCTTTATGAGGAGGTAAGGAAGAAATGGGAGAGACACAAAAGGGTCTTCAGCTGTATTTGTTATAGTTCTTAAATTGTGGGGAAGGAGTGCAGAGAGGATAGTTTACAATGTTTTTTTTAAAAATAATCAAAATGATGAAGTAGCTGATCTTAAAAATGTAACCAACATACAGGATCAGTATAGATTCTACTTCTCTTTCTTTAGTACTTTAAAATACACATTAGGGGCTGTTCCCATGGCCAAGTGGTTAAGTTCACGCGCTCTGCTTCAGGCGGCCCAGGGTTTCGCTGGTTTGGATCCTGAGCGCAGATATGGCACTGCTCGTCAGGCCATGCTGAGGCAGTGTCCCACATGCCACAACTAAAATATACAACCATGTATATTTTTTTTTTAAAAAAAAAGATTGGTAATAGTTGTTAGCTCAGGTGCCAATCTTTAAAAAAACAAAAAAAAAACCACATTAATTTTCAGAATGAGGACACACACTCTAAGACTTCAAAGTGCTCTCTGAAGTAAAGATTAGATATCATTAATAAGATCTTAAGCTCTAATATAGTACCTATCACTGCTGAATGAGTAGTACGAAACAAGAGAGGGATTCTATTGCAGTAGAAGGGCTGTATGCTTACCCACTTGTTATGACTGTACAAACAATAATTTAAAAATTCCTTCTCTGTTGGAGAAAAGCAGGCCCAAGATGGCATTGGAGCAAGATGCAACCTTGTCCAAGTATAATCATCAGGGATAAGAAGGGGGTGACTCAAGCTGGGGGGAAACTGTTCTTTAATTCAATTGGGAATTGGAGTGGGGACCCTGAATGAAACATCTCAGGTCACTCCAGGAGGGAAATGATACTGGCAAAATGCAACATGGGAGCCCCTCAGTCTACACTCTGGTGATCTTATGGATGAAGCTCCTTTGAAATGAGTATTACTCAACAGATCAGTGGTTGGGGTGAGGAAAGAGGCTGACTACAAGGGAGACTGGGGAAAATTTTTAGGGAGATAGCACTGTCCTATATCTTGACCGTGGTAATGTTATACAACCGAATACATTTAAAAAAGGTTTTACTGTATGTAACTTACACTTTGATAATAAGAAAAAAAAGAATTATTCATCCCATCTGAGATCCCACCTGATGATAAATTAGAACAGCCCTTTATACAGAGAGGAGGCAATGAGAAAGATCTGGCATATGGAAAATCAGTTTATTATCATAAGAACAGAGTAAACTTATACATGTAGGAGCTCGCAAAAAACAACAGTAAAATTAGGGGACAGAACTGTGGGACAAAGAAGTAGGAAATATTATCATGCAAAAAAGACACTGCTTCCAGATACAGTATCTGGGTCTGATGAAATAAATGATGCTCGTTGAGAAAAACTTGAAGGCAGCGATATTTTACATAATTTAATATGGGTAATACACTAATAGGGGTATCATATATCCTGCTACTATAACACAACAGGAAAGTTAATACAAGGATAAAGAGAAATAAAACAAAAAGACATTCCCCTCAAAACAAATTGTTACCAGCTCCTTTTTGCAATACTACAAAAACTTAGAGAGACCCAGAAACTCTAGCACCCTTGCTCCACTCTGCTTCCAGAGGCCCAAACCTCAAGTCAACAATTGAGGACAAAAGTCTCATTCTTGTGCCCTTTTTAAAGGTAAGAGAGCTTTCCCGAAAGGTCATCAGTATATTTCTCCTCATGTTCCATTAGCAAAAAACTGTTACCATGCGTCCATTCCTAAACCAATCACTGGCAGGGGAGTAGAACTGCTATGGCTGGTTTAGACCAGAGTTCTCAACCCTGTCAACCCATAAGAATCACGCGGGGACTTCAAAAAATTACTGATACCTGAGCTCCATCCCTGAGATTCTTATTTAATGGTCCCCTAGCACTAGTATTTACTTTTAAATTCTCCAGGTGCTTTTTAATGAACAGTCAAGGTTGAAAATATTGGATTAGTCTCCTGGTGGAAAGTACTGGAGAAGCAACCAATGGTGTACCCCCTGAGAATTCGCCTAGTTCTGAGAACATCCTCTCTCAAGGGGTGGAACAGACGCCTGCATGTTTATATGGAACAGCTGTGCCTACCAATGATTTAACCAGGCATAGATGCTTAAGTGAAACTACCCAGATTCTCTCTCCCAAGAATGTGATCATCCAAAGTAATAAAACAGTATTATATTTCCTTACAATGTAAGTATTTCTTTATGGTAGATGAGCAATACAGTTAAATCACACAAATTACTTACCTAATGTGCATCTAAGCTGAGGCTGAAGCCTAATAAAAATTTCATCTCTGACTTCATTCAGACAGGTCTCTATCTTTGCAAATATTTCGGAAGTAAGTTTTTTACAATCTCCATCTAAAAATATAGAACATTATCAATTTCTCATCAATTTGTATCTTTTCACAAAAAATTAAGACATTACCAAGAATGAAGGTTTATCAGAGTCAATAAATTTTGCAGAGACAAAATGGAAAATACAAAATTTCCTTAATTCTTCCTCCTCTCTCTGTGGTATACCATATATAGTCCCTCAATATTTGTTAACAACACAATATCATCAATACTGACTGTGTGGGCCAACATCATTCTGCCTGAGTAAAATCTCAGTGAAAGCCTTTCTCATCCAAATAATCACAGGCCTAGCATTAGAGCTAAGCTTTCAGATATTCTGCCTAGCTCTGAACCAGCTGAAGCTCTCTCTTTACATGTGATTATTACTCACGCTAGAGGCATCTAATCATTTATTCCTCTTTGCATAACTTTTATTGAACGTACCTAGATCATAGGAGCAGATAAATTCATAAGGAGTCTTAATAAAGTTATGATTATTTCCCAAACTAAGAATTGGTATATTTCCCTCCTTCCATCTTTCTTTGGAGGGGGTGTGAAACGGTCTTCAATGACATCATAGTGTTTATACAATTCCATATCCTACTTTTTCCCCAACACAAATTTGCTTCATTAAAAACTTTGTAGGTTAGGGGCCAGCCCGGTGGCCGAGTGGTTAAGTTCGTGCGCTCCACTTCGGCAACCCAGAGTTTCACAGGTTCAGATTCTGGGTGCGGACATGGCATCGCTCACCAAGCCATGCTGAGGCGGTGTCCCACATGCCCCAACTAGAAAAACTCACAACTAAAATACACAACTGTGTACTGGGGGGATTTGGGGAGAAAAAGGAAAAAATAAAATCTTTAAAAGGAAAAAAACAAAGTCTCCCTTTAAAAAAAAGCAAACTTTGCAGGTTAGTTATTACACTTTGACTTAACCAGTTTTATTAACCATTCCTCTATTGCTGGACATTTAAGTTCTTTTTTCAATAAATATTACCACGATAAATGTCTTTGGGCATATATCTGTTCATGTTTTGGATCATTTCTTTAGGGGAAAAGTCCTCAAAATGGACTTACTGTGACAGAAAACTATCCAAGATTAATAAGAAAATTATTTTGAATAAAAGCCTCCATATACATTTGACTCTAGTTACTCTTAAGCTACAAATAAATCCTTTCACTCAAATCTCTTACTAACAAATAATTCATACAGCCTGATCACACTCTGCTTATGTTTCACTATGAAAATATCTAGAATCTCCTATAATATGGAGTAAGCATTAACCAGAATTTTTGTTATCTGACCATGCCAAAAAAAAGAGAAAACCTACAATTCAAAGTAATGCAGCTCAAACTAATGTGATTACAACCATATTATAAAAACTACAATTATTCTGTAAAAAGTTAATATAAGATTAAAATATGAAATTAAAATTAATTCAACATTCAGGTCAAAATTTGAATGAGAGGTATGCTCTTTGGAAATAATCAAACAACCATCACTTACTCAGTAGTGGGGTTCCTGTAATTACAGAAAACAGGAATAGAAGAAAAGGCAAAGGCAGAAATACTTGTGAGAAAATGAATCTTAAAAATTGCAAAAAAATTAAATCTCAAAGAAACTCAAGTTGAAACAAAATATTTCTTATCTAACCAAATTATAACTCGTTAAATGTTTATACCCAAAGGTGATTAAGAGTGCTCGGGATGTTTTCTTCTACATGTGAAAACAGAATTATGTGTTGGTATAACCCTTCTGGAAAGCCATTCAGAAAGACTCTTTATATTCATATTTTAATATCCCTTCTAGGAAATAATCAGCAATGGATTCAAAGGACATATGGATATCTGTCATGAGGTTTATTCATAATAGTAAAAAATGGTAAGCAGCCTGAACGTTCAACAACGGAGAAACAACATACAAAATTAATTTAAAGACTGTATGACCAGTCACACTGAATAAACGCAAAGCTTGTTGTCCTACCAGACAGCAAGACCTAAAAAGCCCTAATTATTAAAACAGTGTGGTATTGGTACAGGGACAAAGTGACCAAGAGAACAAAATTGAGAGTTAAGGAACAGCTGCACACATACATGGAAGGTAATATGACGAAGGTGGCATGGCAGATCAATTAAGAAAAAACTGGCTATAAAATGGGGAAAAAAAGTGGATCCTTATCACATACAAAAATTAACTCCAGTTGAATTAAGAATTTCAATGTCAAAAGCAAAACTTCATGACTTTTCAGTGAAAACATAAGTGAATGACTTTCCAGTCTTGGGGAAAGGAAAGATTTCTTTTAAAAGCCACAAACATTACCAGCTACAAAAGGAAAAATTAACAATTTCTGTACATCAAAATATAACTTTAAAAAAGTAAAAACACAAGATACAAATTGGGAGATTTAACAACACATAGCTGACATAAAAATAGCAAGGACATATAGAAATTCATACAAATCAGTAAGAACATGACAGAACAAATAGGGATAAGACACAAACAGGCATTTCACAGAAGAGGGAACATATGGTCAATCTACACATGAAAAGTTGTTCAACCTCTTTAAAATGTGAGAAAGGCAAATCAAGATCACATTTTACATCCTTCAAAGGGCAAAAATCTCCAAGTGTGAAAATAACCACGGGAGAATATATGGATCAGGAAGATCTCTTACACAGTGCTAGCGGGAGTGCTGAGTGGTACAACCACTCTGGAAAGCAACTCACCTATCTTGTAAATCTGAACTCAGAGCCTGGGATTTGGCAATTCTATCCTATAGTATATCCAAGGGAAACTCGTTCTTTACACCCCAGGAGACTTGCCTAAGAATAGTCACAGCAGCAGTATTTATAATGGCAAAAAACAACCCAATGACAGATGAATGAATAAATATACTGATATATTTACAAAATGGAAATATATACCAATGAAAATCAATGAACCACAAACAACTTCAATAGATAGATTTCTATAAAAAGAAAAAAAAAGGTCCCAGAAGACATACTGTATAATATCTTTTATAAGGTTCAAAATAAACTAAATTAGACAACATATTGTTTAGCCATACATATGTAGGAAAAACTATTAAGAAAAGAAGGCATGATGAAACACATGCCAGGATAACGATTCCCTTTAGGGAGAGGTGGAAGATGGGATGGGGAGGAATACATGGGTAGATTTAAGTCATTGGGAATATTTCAATTCATCTTGGGTTGGAAGGTAGGTTTACGGGTATCCTATTTTACAGGAAAACAAACGCAAAAATATATTCCCTCATTGGAAGAGAGATTTTGGGGGAGTTGTTGGATTATGGGTGATTTGTACTTCTTTTTTCTGATTTACAGAAATCTAAAAACTCAAAATTTTACTTTGATGGACTTTGTGATGACCACCATTACCCTGACAACTAAGATACAACCACGGCCTCTTTATTCTTTACTCCTAGTTTTTGAAAAAGACGACCTTTTGGGCAGTCATGATAATGCAACTGGTATTATCTTAAGCTTCATGACACTAACCTTGAGCTCCTGGTTCCCGGGTTTCTATATAAAACAGAAGCTACTGATGGCATCTTTTCTACATGCTATGAGACAAAACTCAACATTACCTCTGTAAAAATTCAAGAGAAATAAATATTATTACCAACCTTCAACTCCATCCAATTGACTGGTGTGGAGCAGCTTATTGGCTTGATCATACTTTGTAAATAATCGACAGAACACAGATTCCTCTTTAGAGCAGAGGTCAGTCACAGTGTTTTTTAACCCTTCCAAGTGCACCAATGCCGAGAGGATACAGTCTAACCAACAGAGAGCATAAGCATTTTTCCACTGGACACACAAAGTCTGACAAAGTGATGTACATCTGTTCTCCAACGGCATTTCCAGTCCAGATGTGCATCCTTCATTTTGAGGGGAAGTCCCTCCAGTTCTGGAAACATCAATTGTAGCAGGATCTTCTTCAGCAGCCACATCAACAATATTAGCTTCCAAAATCTCACCCTGTTCCAAGGAATCAGCTGTCCTACCTGGCTTCTGCTGACCACTGTGTAGCACATCAGGTAAGTCTGATGACGTTTCATCACATGCTGCTTCATTCTGTTTGCTGTTCAAAACTTGTTCACCATCAATAACAACACGACTTTTAGTCTTTTTGGAACATGCTACAACAGGGGAATCTTTATAGTTGGTTTCCAAGAGCTTTCTTTTTTGAGGCTTATTTGTAGTGTGACAATCTTCCAAATCAGGAGAAATTAAGTTATTAAGCGATTTAGAGCCCAAAGGATATATGCACTAGAAAGAAAAAATAAAATAATAAAAACTAAAAAATTCAAATAAACTCAAGTTTTAAAAACTTTATAGTTTCTATGTCATGAAAATTACGTTTAAAATTTTAGCACTGATTTGACATGAGAAGGTATATTATCAATCTAAATTTGAAGGAACTAGGGATAAACAATTACTCAATCAAAAATTTGGCCCCTCCAAAAATTATTTTTCCTAGTTAATTTGAACACTCAAAGGTTTAATCTGAGGTACACTAGGGTAAACTAACAAGGAAAATATACATCTTTTTGCTTTAATAAAAAAATCTAACATCTAGTGAATTAAAAAATTTCAACAATTTAAAGAAACACAATGATGAGAATTATTGTTTTGGAACAGGTACACTGCTCAACATTAAAAATTAGAAAAATATTTTCAAATTAAAAAAGCTGCACAATTTCTATGTTTCTTAATTTTCAAACTGCATATTAACCTGAGAGCACATCAGCATATCAATTTTACATCCTTATTGGATCCATGAGTCAAATTGGCTGAATTTTAATGACTTTGTCATATCTCACTATGCATTAACACAATTTCAGCCAAATATCAAAAGTGTAAACAAATCACTAAAATAATCAATGAATTTTCCCTAAGTTTGAAAACTAGAAAAAATATTTTCTAAGACAAATTCAAGAAACCTATATATCTATGTATCTACAAATCCATGTGCCCTCATTTAAAATATGCCTTCTTCTACACAAGTACGGTAGACTGCTATCTTGGTGGCCTCTAGCAAAATAAAGAACTACACTTCCTGGTAGTCATGTCCTCAGAGAGTCAGCCGCCTGCCACACAACTCTAGGCCTGGCCATGACTAGCTTTGATGGGACATTAGCAAGCATGATGCACATGGAGACCTGAAAAGCACTGGCTCATTAGGATTGTCCTCTTGGAGCTCTCCTTCTCTGGAACACTCCTTCTTAGTCCCAGCCATCATACTGTGAGGAGCCCAAGTAGCCTCGTGGAGAGACCCTCATGGAAAAGGACTGAGATCCTGGCTGACTGCCTGAGCTGAGTTCCCAGGTGGCAGCTAGCACCAGCTGCCAGCCATGCAGACATTTCAGCTGTCCCAGCCAACAGTAGGTAAAGTGTAAGAACTGCCTGGTCAACTCACAGAATCATGAGGAATAATAAGTGAAGTCATTAAGTTTTTTTAGTCACTAAGTTTTGAGGTGATTTGTTTCAAAGTAATAGGTAAATGAAATGCATTAAATCTTCTCATTTAAAATACAGCTTGTTCCATGCAAGTGAACACTATACTCATAATACTGCAATTATGAAATTCTTTAACAGGACAAGTTCTGGATTCTTCTGACTGTTACCAACTGGTTGTACATTCACCATTAACTAACAATTTGACCCTCAACTTTATTCCTTGAGATTATTTTCTAAATCTTACCAGATGTCAGAAAATGGAGAACATTTTAAAATCAATAGAAATACTTTTGTATTCAAAGAATCATAAAAAGGTATATATCCAAAAAAATTGAACGGAGGATCTCAAAGAGATATTTGCACATCAATATTCACTGCAGCATTATTCACAATAGCCAAGAAGTGAAAGCAACTCAAATGTCCATGGATGGGCAAATGGATAAAGAAAATGTGGTATAAACATACAATAGAATATTATTCAGTCTTAAAAAAGTAAGGAAGCCCTGTCATGTACTACAGCATGGATAAAACTTGAGGATCTTCTGCTAAGTATAATAAGTCATCATAAAAAGACAAATACAGCATGATTCCACTTATATGAAGTACCCAGACTAGTCAAATTCAGAGAGACAGAAAGTAGAATGGTGGTTGCCAGGGCTGGGGGAAGGGGAAGTTGCTCTTCAGTGGGTACAGAATTTCGGTTTTGCGAGATGAAAAGTTCTAGAGATCTGTCACCCAACAATGTGAATACAGCTACTAACACTCCTGAACTGTACACTTAAAAAGGGTTAAGATGGTAAATTTCATGTTATGTTTTTTTAAAACTAAAAATTTTTAAAGAATTTTTTTAAAAGAGGCAAAAATTAAAAAACAAAAAATCTTGACCAATCTCAAGCAGAGTTGAGACCATGGTGTGCACATCTTACCAGCACCCCTACTCAATTAAAAACAACAATAAACCATAAAGGGCCTGGGGTTGCAAAATGTAGTGTCCTAAACGGTTTCTCCCCTACACTATTTCCAAATGTCTTCACTGACTTTTCCTTCTATAATCTGTGCTCCCATCATAGGGTCAATCTAAAATCTAATTTGTCCTTGCCCCAATTTTTCCCTTTTATAAATTAATGCTTTTGGATTTTTATTTCTTTATACCTGACTTTAGTTTCTACTTTATTTACAATGAACACATATCATTTTTATAAATAGAATAAAAGATTTCAGTGTGTCTCCAAAAGAAAGAAGTCAATAAAACAAAACCACACACAGAACATTAATTTTTTAGTCTAGTCCAACCATCTAGGACCATTTAAAATCTAATGCTGGAAAAAATCTAATGCTGCCTCTTTTACTGACATTTGGAATTGATTTTGGATTTTTCACTGTTTTTACAAAACAGGAATAAGGAAAATACACCACATTATCTTATATTCGGATAATTACCTGTAAGGTATGACCAAGACAAATTATAAAAATAATTTACATTTATTTTACAAATGAAGAAAACTAAGAAAATAAGTACTTTCTTTGGTGACTTAACACTAATGATTTAAAAGCCTTTCTATCATAAATTTCATTTTTTTAAAAAAAAGACTACATAATTAAATGTTCCAATAAAAGAATGAATAATGGAATACTCAAAAAAATAGGAAGATGAGTTAAAATTCCGTTTGAAAATACAGTCTGTGTTGTTTAATGACAGAGACACATTCTGAAAGAACGTACTGTTAAGTGATTTCGTTGTGTTGGAACATCAGAGTACACCAAAGGGAAACAAAATTCACGACCCCAAAATGGGCCTCTTTAACATGAAATTATTTTAGGCTGATTATTTTTAAGAAACAAAAGACTCAGCTTTTCTCATTACCTCATCCTTAACTGCTGCAGATGAAAAAAATCTGTCTCAGGAAGCAAGCTATCACCTTAGCATAGCGTGATGGTAAAAGGGAGGAAACGAGGAAAGGTTGTTTTGTTGGCTCCACTCTGTGTTCTTCTGTTTCTGTGTGGCCAAACACTTGTTTTCTAAACATTTGCTCCTCTTCACCTGTGAATTGCCTGTGTTCCCTTTTGAAGTCCCCGACTCTCCCTACCACTAACATCTTCTTTTGTCTTCAGCTGAGGAGGGTACTTAAGGTGAGGGTTTGGGGCTATTTTGGTGAGTTACTCAGTTTTTCTGGGTTTCCCCCATGTATATGTTATTAAACTTTTATTTGTTTTTCTCCTGTTAATCTCTCAAGTCAATTTAATTGCGAGACCAGCCAGAACTTAGAAGGTAGAGGAAAATTTCTTCCTCCTCTACTGAATTTACACAAACCTAGATGGTATAGCCTGCTACACACCTAGGCTATATGGTACTAATCTTATGGGACCAGCATCACATATTTGGTCCATTGTTGACCGAAACACTGTTAGGCAGCACATGACCGTACTTGAGAGTTTCAATTTGTTATTAATTTTGAGCTAGAGTTTGAATATTAGTGTTTTTTCCAAATTAAGAAACATATTTTAATGTAAATATCTCATTAAAAGGGGTTTCCCATGTGGTTCTTTGTAATTTAGCAACTGAAAGCAGAATATCTGGTGGACTCCAAATTTTATAATAGAACTCCAGAAAAACTAATAGTTGGATTCAAAGGTCTTATAGACCAAGGATCAGCCAACCTTACCTGAAAAGACAAGAAAAATATTTTATGCTTTGTAAGTCAGTCAGTGTCTCTGCCTGAACTGCTCAACTCTGCCACTGTAGTATAAAAGTAGCCATAGATAATACATAAATGATAGAGAGTGGCTATGTTCCCATAAAACTTTATTTATGGACACTGAAATTTGAAATTAATATAATTTTCATGTGTTAGAAAAAACTGTTCTTCTTTTCATTTTATCCCAGTCATTTAAAATGTAAAAATCAGAGGCCAGCCCATTGGCGCAGCAGTTAAGTTCGCATGTTCCGCTTCTCAGCGGCCCCAGGGTTCGCCGGTTCAGATCCCGGGTGCAGACATGGAACCGCTTGGCAAAAAGCCATGCTGTGGCAGGCGTCCCATGTATAAAGTAGAGGAAGATGGGCATGGATGTTAGCTCAGGGCCAGTCTCCCTCAGCAAAAAGAGGAGGACTGGCAGCAGTTAGCTCAGGGTTAATCTTCCTCAAAAAAAAAAATAAGTAAATAAAATGTAAAAATCATTCTTAGCCCATGGGCCATATAAAGAGTTTGCTGACTCCCAGTGTAAACCAATCTACTTCATAAAATACACTGGGCTCTTATTAATGATTAGAACATTTTCTAAAAACTAGATCAATAATTAATTACTCTAAAATTCTTTTTTACATTTGCAAAGTACATATTTAAAATTTTTGGTTACGTATCTTTCCTCATCACTTAAAAAAGAATGCTTCAAAAACTAAAAACGCAGCTAAACCATTTAACCTTAACAGCTATAAACCTATGTCCTGAACACAGGGGCTTCTCTATTCTGGTAGTCCGTGGTAAAGAACTCTACTGAAATACTACGTATTGTTCAGAACAGGAAAAAAAAGTATTTTTTTCCCTAGAATCAGTAAGATTTATTTTTTCTCTTTCCAGCGTCCATAATTCTACAACTTTATTCTGAGCTAGCTAATGAGTAAACTCTGTATAGTTGGCTGTTATGGACGAGCCGTCAAATCTAAAGTCAAGTCTTCCCCTTGCACAGAGCGCCCATGATCTGCCCCAGGGATCTCCTTCCAGCAATGCTATGACGCTTTCTCCTATTTTCCCCTCTCTCCTGGATACAACCAGCAAACATACTGTTATTTCTCCAAACTTAAAGACAAACAAAACTTCCCCCTTCAGGTACCATCTCCCATCTGAATTTCTCAATTCTTCCTCTTCCACTTTCTCTCTCTCTCACTGCAACCAGGCTTTTATCACTACTACTTTACCCAGGTTATTCCCATCAAGGTCTTCAATGACGCCCACAGTACTCTAGTCCATAGCTAGTTGAGTCCTCATCCTCAAGGTGTCACTGGCAATGACAGTTAATCATTCCTTCCTTAATTAAATATTTTTTTCACTTGACTTCCAGGACAATATACTCTCCTTCCTGGGTTTACTCCTACCTCACTGACCCCTTCTTCTCTCACTCCTCTGCTAGTTCCACTTCATCTCCCCAATCTCTTTGTGCTGGAGTATTCCAGGGCTCAGTTCTTGCAGCTCGTTATCCATACTCCTAGGTAAACTCGCCCAGTCTCATGGTTCAATTTCTACACGCTGATGACTCCCAAATGTCTATCTCCAATCTCAAACTTGCCACCTAACACCAGACACATAGATCCAACTGTTTACTCCACATACCCACAGACAGCGGACAGATGTCTCAAGCTTGACTGGTCCTGACATCCTGATCTTTCCCTTTCTCTTCGCAAAGTCTTTCTCATCTCAGTAAGTGGCAACTCCATTCTTCCAATTATTCAAGCCAAAAATCCTGGAATCATCCTTGATTCCTCCCTCTCCTACCATGTATCCCAATCTTTCAGCAAATCATTTTGGCTCTGCTTTCAAAATATACACAGAATCCAGCATGCCTCCTCCCCTCGGCCAGTACTTGCTCCCCCTGGAATACTAAACTGCCTCCCAACTAGTCTCCCTGCTTCAGGTCTTGATCTTTATACATATTTTCAACACAGAAGCCACAGTGATCCTTTTAAAATATAAGTCAGATTATGTCATTCCTCTGCCAACATCCCTACTAGCTTCTTCATTTCAGTCAGAGTAAAAGTTGGAGACCTTACAATGGCCTAAAAGGCTCCACTTGGTCCAGCCCTCTCCCCATTATTTTTCTGACCCACTTTCTATTACTCTGCTTCACTTACTCAGATCCCGCTCTGCTGGTTTCCCTGCAGTAGCACAAACATGGACACGCAACCTCCACTCTCTCAGGGCCTTGTACCTGCTACTCTCCCTGCCTTGAAGGCTCATTCCTCAGATCCGCGCATGGCTTGTTCCTCTTCATCTCATTCAGGTCTTTGCTCAAGTGTCACTTTCTCAATGAAGAGTTCCCTTCACCACTCTATTTAAAACTGCAAACTGTCTATTCGCTGACACACCAATCCCTGTGGCTTTATTTTTCTCCACAGCACTTTCCATCACCTCACACACAAAAAATGCACTTTACTTGTTTATTGTCTCTCTTACCCTAGAATATAACCTTCCTTCTTGAGGGCAAGAAATTCTTGTTTTATTCACTGTAACCTAGCATCTGGAATGGTGACAACACGGCAACACTCAAAAAGATATTTATTGAATAAAGGCAAAAAGAAATTTATTTCTATTTGTAAGAATGCCTGGGATTTTCTTCAAGTTATACCCAGCAAAAGTTTCCATCACCAATAGTGTGATTTAGTCTAGTATTTTCCAAACTTGGCTGATCATCAGAAGTTACAAAACTATAGAATTCTGGGTCAGCTCTACTGAATCAGCATCTGGGAGTGAGACCCAGAAATTTTTTAAAAGCACTCCAGGTGATTCTGAGGAACTGCTAGTTTATCTAGAATGAAACATCTCTGAAATTAGAAGGCTGTATCGTAATAACAACTCTATCACTTTATGAAGATCTCGTGTTAAGACTGTATCGTAATAACAACTCTATCACTTTATGAAGATCTTGTTCTTAAAGCCTCCACATTTATTTTCTTACTCATGAGAAAACCTACCTTGCAAAGTTTTGAGAATTAAACATGTATATAACAGTTTCATAAATGGTCAAGTACAATAAAATGTAGAGTACTATACAGTTTAACAAGTTCCTATTTAACAAAGTTGTAGCAGTGAGTACACATTACTATAATTAATTCTAAAAGATATTTAGTGCCTTAAATACATAATATTTAGAGACTAATAACTTTTCCATTAAGTTCCAAAGCTAATAAACCACAGATGAGGGAGTAACTACTATATACCAACAGCTAACAAGGATCCTCACAGGTTAAAAAAAATCAGTTTTAAAATGTATTTTCTCCTTTCACAAGTGAATGATAACAACAAACATGTTCATGCAATAACTCAGGAAACCAGGTCGAAAAATAATGGAAAATATTTAAAACTGTATACCAGATAGACCTAGAAATTCTGATTATCCATGTATTAAAAATGTACAGTCTAAAAAATACAAAATGAGTACAAATTTAAACACTGAACAAAAAAGCAAAAGGCTAAAACTTCCATACTATCTAAGATTAATACTTTACCTGTAGATCCTCACACAGAAAGACAGACTCTTGAAAACTAATTCGGTAAGTCTTTAAGGCTTTCAACTTTCCCTTCTCTCTACAAGCAGGGCAATACCCATCTGACGGGACGTTAGCTGAATCATAATTCTAAAAGAGAAATAAAATAAATTAAATATACACATTCCTAGATTGCATCAAATTACAAAAAGTTAAACGGAAAAGTAACCAGAAAAAATTACAATTTTCACCTAGAAGTGTCCTGGCAAAATATTTTAAACATGGCAAATAAAAGAAATGCATATAGGCTTTAAATATAGCTATTATTCCAAAAAGAATATATTGTAGTTTTAAATATTAAATTTTAAGCGTTAAGAATAGCATCAGTTTTATTTGCAAGAAAAAAAGTCATGTCAACTGCCAGGGAAAATGCATGCTCTGTATTTTCAAAGAATAGTAAACCTTAAGGTCTATGTTCTAGCTCTACTTTCACATATCAATAAAACAGAGAGGTAAACACATTACAACAATCTTTCGCCATTGCTTTAAGATTTCCGTGGAAGATACAACTTTCTAGAAGTTAATTGGTAAAATTAAAACTGAATTTAAGTCTCAAAAATAGGAGGAAAAAAAATCAAATTTGCACTGAGGCAAAAAATAAGTTCACTAACTTTTCCCAAATACCCCACCACGTGGAGTGAAGATATCCCTATATCAGTCCCTGGTCCAATCACTGGCAAACCATTTCCAATCTTCGGGGAATCCATCATTCCGAGTCATGGGCTAATTTATGCCACTTGAAACATGTCAATATCACTAAGGATTTTTCAATGAACCCTGGAAAAAAAAATTCAATAAACAATTAAATAAAAATCCTATGTACTTTGAAAAAGAGATATGCTACTTTATAAGATGTACATATATTAAATATATTTCAAGATATCCCTAGAGTAAACATATTCTGAAACTGTAATCTTGAAGTGAAAACAAAATACTTAAATTTATAAATCTAGCAAATATGTGGGGAGAGGGCAGAGACTGGCCGTAGGACCAGTTTTCACAGAAGACTCATTTGTAAACAAATTTATCAAAACTTGTAATAGAGGTAGCTATTATTTAAAGCACTTATGTTGACCAGATTTTGTAAACCTAAGTTTTTAGAGTCTATACACAATTTGAAACAAATAAGTCAGCATTACACTAAGAAAGTACTTCAAAACCCCAGATCCATTGTGCTATTACTTGACAGGGACAAAAGAACCCCATACATTCCTACTACTTTCAACCACCAAGAATACGTCAACAACTGAGAATAATGCTACTTTTAAAAACCTGCCAACGAAATACTTTTTTGTATTAAAGTAGATGATCTGTACCAGAACAAAAACATAAACACTGTCATAGTACAAATTACACATGTAACAAGCTTGTTTTGAGTGTAGTCCCATGGAGTAGAATCACATTCAGTAAAGTCAAAGTTACGAAACTGTAGCTCAGTGTAGCAAAAGTTACTGGTGGATATGGATTTGAAATATAGGGAAAACAGACACAGGAGACTGTTAAGCAGAATGAATCACGACTTCGCAGGGACACTGTAAAACAATTTCGAGCAAAAGTCTTTTCCAAATCTAAGAATCCATGACTCTATGACAACCATCTCCCGGGAAACTGTGGCTCACAGATTCACTTTAAAAACTAGTTATGCTATTCTGTTCCAGCTGTATAAATTTTACACACTTTTGAAGGCAAGGAGTAATTTCAAAAATAAAAATACTTTTTAGAAAAGTCAGTATCAGTGAATCTCAATTTCCTATTTCTGAAGAAACATCCATAGGGCAGGGTTTCTCAACTACAGCACCACAGACATTTTGCACCAGATAATTCTTTGTTGTGAGGGACGGTCCTGTGCACTGTAGGACGTTCAGTAGCATCGATGACCTCTACTTACTAGATGCCAATGGCACTCACCCCTCAGTGGTGACAACCAAGAAAACGTCTCCAGACACTGCTAAATGTCTCCTGGGAGGCAAACCTGCCCCATTGAGAACCACTGCCAGAAAGGTAAAAACAAGTTTGATGCCTTTTCTTTTTAAGCTCCTCACAGACAACACCAATTTATCATCTTTGGCTGCTTCTATTTATAATCTACTTATACAAGGGAACTATACAGGAAAGAGTCAAACTTCCATAGTTCCCAAGTGGCTAAACAAATGGGCTCTATACCTGGAGATTCTGATTTAGAAATTTATTTGTAATACTGGTTTGTTCTAAAAATTAAATGCCATAATACATGTAAAACGCTTAGCACTTGACACATAATAAATTTTAGTTACTATTTGGTGTTAATTTTATACTTCATTTTATGTAGAAAATATACAGCACGTCTTGAATCATTCTGCAGTATTCTCAAAAGAAAAACTAGTAGGCTATATATCTTGAATAAACTGTTTTTGATGAAAATTTCCATCTGCCTGAGGGACCTAGAAAACTCTCAGCTGGTTCTCTCTCCCTCAATTATAAAAGTACAAACAGGAGGAGCCTTCAAATCTGCTCTCCTGATCCCACCACCCAACATTTTCAGTGGGAAAAGCAGGTAGGTTAATGATTGAAATTGTGAATATGCAGACCCCTCCACCCCTATAAGAAAATTCACTTAAAAAAATACCAGAGGAGGACTATTCGGGTCTTCCAAAAACGATTTACTTTGCCCTATATACAAAACCCTGGGGTGATTCTTACGACTTAATTTGTTTCTAAATGACTGCCTTTATCATCCTCCCTTCAAACATAACCTGCTCGTCCTTCTTGTTATGTCATCCAGAGTTCGGCATCTCCATGCTTCCAAACACACATACTAGAAAATCTGAGTGGTTCTTTTCTTTCTCTTCCCTCTTCACGCAGTAAAAAGTCGCCAAATCCTGCGCACAGTTCTTAGAAGCCTCTCTCCTTCCATTCCGTCCCCACGCCACATCACTGCCAAACAAGTCTTAGTCTGTCACTGCTCAGCTTAAAAGCATCTATTTACTACACAGCCTGATTAGAGGAAAGCCCAAACAGCTCAGCATGACCTAAAGGTAGCACTATGACCTAAAGCTCACTGCACGGTGAGACCAGCCTGGCTTTCCAGTCTTCCCCTCTTCTATTCCACTTCACCTCCAGCATCTTTCTTCTGACGCCCCTTTTTCATCACTTCTGTGAGCCTGTGATACCCCAGAAGCGCGAATGTGAATTACTAGCCCAATATGGACCCAGTTACAGAGCAATGGACGTGTAAAGTTAGCCATGGGAATAGCGAAAGATACGCAATTAAGCCTAATGCACATTCCCGTGTGCAAAAAGGGGAAACTCAGAGAAGAAGCTGTTCGAAGAGGAGCCTTATACCCATTTGAGCTTGCCCTCCAAGACCAACGGGGCTCAGCACGTGAACTACCAAAGGTGAGGCCACAACACACTTGAAGCCGAGGAACGGAGTTGGCTTTCGGAGCCCAGCCCTGCCTGGTACCAAACCTAGCCGTCCTAAATCAGAGACGGAGAGGACCCGGAGAGATCAGTTTCAAACCCAACCCTGGAAGCCCGAGGCGGCGCGGAATTCCGTTAACCCGCCCCATCTCCACGCTCCCTTGGCGGAGAAAAAAACACTCTGGTTTCTCTTCAGCATTTACCTCTCTGAGCCCAAACGAATCTGCAACTCTAGGCGTTAATGCCGACCCTTCCCACCTGAACCTAGTCCCAGCCCCTTCCCTCTCCCAGCCTGGCCCATCCTTTCACGGTGAGCAGACTACCCCCCAGGTCGCCCCGGCTCTGTCCCCTGTCCCTGTTTTGGGAACTGAAGGAAACTGCTCCCTCCTCTCCCTTACCGGCCGTGGGCACTCCCCTTCTTCGCACTCTGCCGAACCAAACTGCTGTTCCAGGTTGAGCTCCACACCACTCAGCGCAACGTTCCCCCCACGTTCCCTTCAGTCCGCTCCTCCCCCACCGGCCTCCCCACTAGAAAAGCAACTTCCGCTTTGAGTCCGCGGCAAAAGAGTTCCCCTTCCTGCTCCGCTCGGGGCCTGGAAGGACGTCGGCGTGACGGGGAAGATGAGGACGGGAGCACTTCCGGCCGGCCTCTGCAGAGGCGTGGCTGTCAGCCCGGCTGCCGCAGCCGCAGTTTCAGCGGCGGCGACGATTAGGGGCGGGGCCGGTCGCTGCAGAGCCCGCCATATGTGAGTGGCTGGGTTTGGGGAGGCGACGTTTCTGGAAGCTGCTGGAAAGCGCTCGAGTGGCGGAGGTGACGCCGGCGGCCAGGGGGTGGGGCGTGATTAAAACTAGTGCGCGGCCGGCAGCGGAGGGATTAACGCTGAGCAAAGAGACTGGCGCGCGGCTCGCTGCGCCCTAGCCCGCGGGAGCCCGGGTCCGACGCCGGCGCGGCGCGAGCGACCCGGTGGGTGGGCGGGCGAGGGAAGGGCTGCCCGGCCGCCGCAGGCTGCGATGGAGGCCCTGGGCCGGCGCGGCCGTGCGGCGCCGCGGTCTCCAGGACTGTGGGCCGCGCGGGGCCCCCGCTGTCCGCTTTCCTAAAGCCTCGGCGAGAGCCGAGCTGCCCCAGAGTGCGTGTTCACAAAGGGTCACCACACACGGAGCTGCCCCTCCCTGTCTCCCTAAACCCCATCTTCGAGGCCAGGGGCTTTCTACCAGGATTCTGGGGTGTTCTTCCTTTCCTCCCTCCCAGATCTTCTCACGGTAAGGGGAGTAGCCAAAGCACAGGGACTTTGCTGTCCGTGACCCATCCTTTCTGGTCCGCCGCGGAGCCGTGCCTGCGGCGCCAGTTTCAGCTGCCCTGCCTTGTTTTAGCTTCAGAGACAGGAGCACTTCTCATTTAGTTCGCAAGTTTAAGGCTCTACTTTCGTAGGAAGGTCATGTGGCTTAAGGGACATCGTGACCGCGTGTGCTATTTCTGAGTCTGCATTCTGAGTCTTGGGGACAGCGTATTCCAGAAGTCCTTTCGGTCGATGTGTTCTGTGTCCTAGAATATAGACGTAGTTTCTCAGCATTTCTTTATGGAGCAACCACCATTGGTATTTTGGACTGGGTTTTTTTTTGTTTGCTTTTTTTTTAGCGGTCTCAAACTAAATGTATTGTGGAGTAATACTGATAATTTGCGTAGGGTGGTATAGAGGAAACAGGTCTCATGTACGAAGAAATTCTTCAGGAAAGAGGATTTTAGTATTCGGTACTTCTGAATGCAAATGGCCAAGACATCCAACAGGGAGTTTGTTGTTTTTCTTCAGACTGAAAAATAGGCTGGTTAGGTTTTATTTACCGTTTTTGTTGTTGTACTAGATTATTAATGTGCTGGTGTATTTGTTGTAAGATCTAGGTAGTTGTTTCCTTAATTTTTTTTAATGAATTATGATGAAAATATGAGAAGATAGTATTTACTCCTGAAATAGTAGCCAAAACTCAGCGCTTTTCTTGTTCACCATTTTGCTAATTCCGTTTTTAGAATGGAATATGCTATTTTTTGTAATAAACTTGCTAAATATTAACTTCATAAATTGATCAAAACTCAGTTAAAATGTAGCTAAAATTTTAAGATTGAAAAAGTCGAATTGTATTAATCAAACATTGTTGTCTGCAAAGTTGATTTACAGTCTTTTAGTGCAAATTTGATTTTTTGCCAGGAAAATATATGTAATAGTAACAGAAACAAAATGGAGATGGCACTTGGGTTATGGAAAGAAAACAAAGGATTTTACTGTGTGCTGTGTTTTGACTTCAGATCTTTTCCCCTTGTAAAAGGTAGAAAAAGTCTTATTAATACTTTATAAAAGGAAAGAGACTAATGTAGAACAATCAGGAGAGATTGATTAGAAAACGCTCCTTTTGTGTATATTGGGTAATGGTCCCAACTGGAAAAAACTGTATACATTTCTGCTTATTCCTTACCAATATGTTTGGAATGCCTCCTTCTGTGTACACTGGTCCCCAAAAAAGTGCAGTTACCTTCCAGTAGGCTTAAAGCTCATTGCCCTCATACCCTTGTCAGCAATGTGGGACGGAAGTTTTATTTACCTATTTCCATTTAAAAATTAACATGATCCAATCAGAGGGAGCTTTTATTAAAGTAATAACTAATGAGCAGCTGAAATAGGAATACAATGTTATACAATTACGATTTTTATTTATTTTTTCTGCTCTCAGAATGTCAGCTTTTGCCCCCTCTGCTAGGTTGGATTCCTTAATTATAAAACGAGTCTTCAGTCCAAACCTGGGATGTAAAAGCTCCCTGCTACGATCGCTTGTTCTGGTCTCATCAAAAAGATGTGAGTTGAGCCAGCCCCAGTGGCCTAGTGGTTAAGTTCGGTGTGCTTGGTGGGTTTAGTTCTGGGTGGACCTATATCACTCGTCTGTCAGTGGCTGTGCTGTGGCAGTGGCTCACATATAAAAAGAGGAAGATTGGCAGCAGATGTTAGCTCAGGGCAAATTGTCCTCAGAAAAAGAAAAAAGATGGGAGTTGAAGTGACTAACCATATTTTCCAGCAGTACCTTTGTGAGTACGGTTCATAATCTCTTATCTAATTCCAACATTCACGAAGCTCTGAAAAACAAAAGCTTTTTAAACTTGGAGACAAAATTCATTTGGTAACAAGATATGACCTGAACTAATTAGAAGTTATTTCGTCTTTATCCCATATGTTTGATTATGGGATGCTGCCCTTGGCCACTGGTCTGTGAGGTGTTACATGATGGTCTATGTACCTGGTAACATTTTTAAATTCCAAGAATTTCTTTATTCTAAAACACATCCAGCCCCTGGGTTTTGGTTAAGGAATGCAAGCCTGTATTAATAGTTTTGGCAGTACACTTGTGCTAGGCATTTGTATATTTAAAAAATTAAAAAACTTATGACATTTTAGTTCTTGCCTTCAGTGAATTCAAGTTTAGTTAGAAGGATAGACAAAAATATGTTTATCATACTGTAATGTGTCAGTGCTAGAGATATGCACAGCCTGTTTGTAAGTGTAGCCATATAGTGACCACAAAGAAATTAGTAGTCTGAGGGTTTGAGGTTATTTTGTACTTCAGACTCTAAAATTTAGACAGAACATGACAACCCATTATGTAGCCTAAACTTCCTTGTCTCTGTTTTGCCCACATAGAATGAGAAGACAGTATGATAAGTAAGAGTCCTAGAGTAGATGTTGGAATATCTGATTTCTAATCCTAACTTTTCTGCTGTGACTTTACACAAATCACTTAATTTTAAAGGCCTCAATTTGTAGATCTATAAAGTAAAAAGTATAAACTAGGATAATCCCTTAAGGAAAGTCCCGGATAGTTCCAACATTCTACCTGCAGGTATTTACCCTTAGTACTGTGTCTACTTTTTATGTTTTCCATTAAGAACGTGATCCTCTTTCATCTCAGACTACTTTCTTGTTCATCTGAATTTTGTGTTTTCTTTTGGGTTAGATAATACATTCACATCGTTCAAAATTCAAAAGGATATGCAGCGAAGTGTCTTCTTCCACACTTGTCCCTCAGCCACCCAGTTCCTTGCCTAGGAAGGATCCATTGCTAACAGTTTCTTGTATATTTTTCAAAAAAAAAATAAATTTATGCATATACAAGCAAAGTGCTATATGTATTTTATTTTTCTTCCCTTCTTTTACATAAATGGTACATACTCTGCATAGTTTATGTACCTTATTTTTTCACTTAGTTCTGTATCATTATACAAGGCATTTCCCCATTCTTTTTATGCTGCATAATGTTCCATTGAATGCTCTATCATTTCATCAGTCCTCTCCTTTTGGACATTTAGGGTTTTCTCTGGTCTTTATTAAAAAGAATTGTGCAATGAATGACTTCGTATATTCGTTTTTCACACACATGAATATATCTGTGCCCTAGACAGCATAGCTGAATTGCGATAGTCATATAGTTGACAAAATATGTTATTTAGTAACCAATAATGTAAAAAGTCGGTAATCAGGTTCTCAGTAGTGTATTTCTTAGGGTGCCATCAGCTGTAACTTATGTGTTCTCTGTGCCTGTATGCTGGTATAATATAATGGAGTCAACACCCTATTTGGTTCTAAAGTAAACATATAAGAGAAATTACATCACCTAAATGGCTGTTTGTTCATATGAGTCTTAGATGGAGCAAGTGGATTATGTGTAGGGACCTTGTCCTAAAAAAAACAAATAAATATCTATATGTTTAGTCACTAAAATCATACAGCAGAGCAAGATTTTCAATGAAAGGCACATAAGAACTGAGACTGATGTAACAACAGATTTGTGCTTTCCAGCTCATACTCCAGGGCATATGATCATTGAGTGCTATTTAAATTGTTATTTTTCTTTTAAATTTTTTGCGAAGCACATGTAAGTTGAATTTGTGTAAGATGCAATTTCTCTCTAGTACCAAATTACCAATAAAAAAAGTAAACCTAAAGGAAGTAAACAGTTTACCCAAATTTGCATAAAAAAGCAGACCTGGGACTAGAACCTATAACCTCTAATTTCTAATCCAGGGCATTTTTCAGTATATCACATGTTCTCATAATTTAACATATAGCTCCAGCAGTAGATCTGAGAATGCCTAGTGCTTAGGGACTGTTTTAGGTGCATTTACTCTGCCTGGGCTCTAAGAGCAACCTAGAGTTCAAAAAGCAGCAGTGCATTTTTCTGATGACTCGGTCACATTCTAAAAGTAATCGTGGAAATAATCACACAACATGTTGATTAGCAATCAGGAGGTCTCCAAATCAAAAAATTAAAGCTGACATAGAGAAACACTGTTTCCTAATTGGGACA